GGTAGATCTCTGTGAGTTCAAGGCCAGCCTGGCTACATAGTGAGTTCCAGGACAGCTGGGGCTTCAGGGAGACCCTGTCTCAAAAAGACACCCCCCCAAAAAAATGACTAGAGAAGGCATTGAAAATATGCTCTGCTAAACATCAGATGGAGATTTTTTTAAAAGATATTTTTATTTTATGTGTATAAGTGTTATGCCTGCATGTAAGTACATCCATGTCGTGCAATGCCTAAGGAGGACAGTAGAGGCTGTCAGATCCCCTGGAACTAGAGTTACAGTTGTTAGCTGCCATGTGGATGCTGGGATTTGAACCTGGGTCTTCTGCAAGAACAGTCAGAATTCTTAACCACTGAGCCATGGCATCTTAGTATCCAGGATGCTAACCATTCTACAATGCACACAGTTCCCCACAACTAGGAATTATCTGACTCATATGTCAGATGCTAATGTAGAGAAATCCTGCCTTAGAGAAAGATGGGGAAAATTTAAGATGATTCAACTCACTGGAGAAGGTGGGTGTGGTATTGTACACTTTTAATCCCAGCACTCAGGAACTGGAGTGATGGCTCAGTGATTAAGAGAACACAGGTTCAGTTCCCAGTACCCACACGGCAGCTAACAACCTTCTGTAACTCCAGGTCCAGGGGATCTGTAGCCATCTTCTGGCCTCTGCAGGCACTGCACAACACTCATACACATAAAACAAAAATACAAAAGAGGCCACAAATCTGGAAAAAAAGTGATCAGTTTCATTAGTTGTCAAAGAAATGGCAAATGGACACTGGATGGGAATCCGTGGCCACTTCCACTAGATAGATGGCCCAGGATCTGTGTAGACGCATAACATCCAGTTGGTGAAGGTATGGAAAGCCAAGAAGGATACACTGTACAATTTCCTGGCAGTGGGATTTCAAATCATTGTTATATTTTTCAGCATGACAATTAAAAATAATTCGTTTTAAATTAACAATGAGTCATGGTGCCACTGTCATCTGGAACACACACTCATCTTTATTTACACATATACAGTATTCTTGTATCGTTATACCTGTGCTAGCTCAGCACTGTATCATTCTGCAGTTCCCACTTAATAGAATTAATTAGTGAATATCATTTTCCCCAGGTAAGATTTGAAGGGGCATGGTTGAGAAAGGGTCTTCCTATAGCCCCAACTGCCTGGAACTCACTATTAGGCTGGTTCTGATCTTAACAGTGATCTACTTGTCTCTGCCTCCTAAGTGCTGGAATTAAAGGGTGCGCCACCATACCCAGCCCTCCCCGAGTTTTTCTTTCTTTCTTTTTTTTTTTTTTTGGTCTTTTTGACACAAGGTCTTCCTGTAGCCCCAGCTAGCCTGGAACTCACAGAGATCCACCTCTGGGATTAAAGGCTTGCTATCATCATGTCCAGCTTAAATTGTTTTTCATTTGGGAACAGTGTCTAACTAGTTGCTCAGGCTGGCCTTGAACTTGCAATCCTACCTGAGGCTCCTGAGAATCTGGGATGACAGGCCTGCACCTCCAACCTGGGTGTGCCTTGCCTCTTTTCTCCTTAATGTTCCTGGAATTCCTACCACCTCTTCCCTCCCAAGGACCCCTTCTGACATGGGGCTCCCCTAGTCCCTGTCTCACTGCCATCACTGCACTTAGTACAAAGTCTAGACATTTTCCTCTCTATACTTTAACCTGCAAAATCATATTTACTTTTTTTTTTTTTTAGTCTTTTTGAGACAGGGTCTCCCTGTAGCCCCAGCTGTCCTGGAACTCACTATGTAGACCAGGCTGGCCTTGAACTCACAGAGATCCACCTGCCTCTGCCTCTGCCTCCCGAGTGCTGGGATCAAAGGTGCACGCCACCACGCCGGCATATTTACTTTTTGTATCCACAGTGCTAGAACAACACCGGCCTGAACAGAATGTTCTGCATTTAAATCATTCCCTTCTGTTTTGTCAACTCTACTTGGTTTCATTCCTTGTTTGAAATATTCACTACTGGGCTTAGAAAATTGTTGGTGCTTCGACAGATGCTGCATCAGATCAAGAGCATCGTTTTTTTTGTTTGTTTGTTTGTTTGTTTTGGTCTTTTTGAGATAGGGTCTCCCTGTAGCCCCAGTTGGCCTGGACTCTCTATATAGATCAGGCTGGCCTTAAACTCAGAAGAGTGTTTTAATCCCAGGATGCTTGGATTAAAGGTGTGTGTCACCTTTCCCGGTTAAGAACATCCTATCTTTTTTACACTTTTCTGTAAGCCAGAATTCACCCGCTTTTCCCTGTAAGTCAGAATTAACCCATAAACTTCAGACACTTGTATCTCAGATCCAAACTAAACTTAAATGTTAATAATCTACTTGTTTTCCTTTTGGGAAGTCTTCAGCTGTTTAGCTGAAGACAATGTTTATAGCTATGTCAGGAATAAAGAGTGCCAGAGAAGGCAACAGGTTTTCGACAAGGAAAGCTAGGACAATTTGGGGCTGGTGAAATGTCTCAGAGGGTAAAGGTACCTGCCACCAAGGTTGACAACCAGAGTTCAATTCTCACGATACACATGGTGGTAGGAGAGACGCAACTTCTGAAGGTTATCCTTGGACTACCACACAGGTGCTGTGGCACACGTCACATCCACAAACACAGAAAATGTAAGAAAAAAATTTTAAGATTATTTTTTTCAAATAAGGTCATATTATGTAGCTCTAGCTGGCCTGGAACGCAGAGATCCACCTTCCTCCTCCAGAGTACTAGGATTAAAGGCATATGCCACCACACCCAGCTGTTTTTATTATTTTAAAAGTGTGTGTGTGTGTGTGTGTGTGTGTGTGTGTCTATGTATGAGCACATGCATGTGAGTAAGAGCCCAGTGAGGCCAGAGGCGTCAGATCCCTTGGAGCTGGAATTATAGGCAGTTGTAAGCTGCCTAACATGGGTTCTGGGAACTGAACTTGAAACCTCTGCAAGAGCAGTATGTGAGTTTAGCCACTGAGCCATCTCTTCAGCCCCCCAAAATTGTTTTTCTTTTTTCTTTGGTCTTTTTGAGACAGGGTCTCTTTGTAACCTCAGCTGTCCTGGAACTCACTATGTAGACCAGGCTGGCCTTCTTGAACTCAGAGATCCGCCTTCCTCTGCCTCCCGAGTGCTGGGATTAAAGGCGTGCGCCACCACCACGCCCAGCTCCAAAATTGTTTTTTAAAGGACAATATGTCTTCAGTTTGTGAATGTTACCTTGGAGATCCACCATATTACCTGCAGAACACATAAATTGTGTGTATCTTAGCAGGAAAGCTTTAGAATGCCCCAGCAATGGCTGTATCTGAAGGAAATGGGAATTTACTATCCTCAAGCAAGAGTAGATATGATCAGATGAACACATTCTTTGCCTGTCTAGTTAACCCAATATATCCCTATATTATAAATGGCTCTACAAATCAAATACTGACTACTAAGCTAAAGTCTACAAGTATCTCTGTTCCTCATACTAAGCCTTTAGAAAAGACTAGAGAATAGGCATTTCAAGGCCAGCCTCAGCCATGTAAGACGCTGTTTCAAAAAATAAAACAGACTGAGGTCAGCTCAAACTAGCCCTGGCTACATAGTAAGACCCTATTTTAAAATAAATAAATTACTGCTGGCCATAGTGGCCCAGCACTCAGGAGGCAAAGGCAGGCAGATCTCTGTGAGTTCAAGGCCAGCCTGGTCTACATAGTGAGTTCCAGGTCAGCTGGGGCCACAGGGAGACCCTGTCTCAAAAAGACCAAAAAAATAAAAATAAAAATAAATAAATCACTATAGAGATTAGGCTAGCCTCCAACTCATAGAAATCTATCTGCTTCTGCCTCCTGAGTATTGGAATTAAAGATGTGAACCACTACACCTGGCTCCATCACAATTTTTATGTATAATTCAAGTCTAAAAAGTATCTTTTTCTAGACAATTAAAAATAATTTAGTATTGTATGTGTGTTTTATATGTGAGTACAAGCATGTGTGCCATGGTGTGTGTCTGAAGTTCAGAGAACAACTTTCAGGAGTAAGTTATCTTCTTGCAACTTGGTTTCTGGGGATTGAACTCAGGTCCTCAAGTTTGCTTGACAAGCACTTTTCCTACTGAGCCACAGAGGTTCCATTCCTATTACTAAACTTATTTATTTTTTGGCTGAGAATCTCTCTTTGTATCCTTGGCTGTCCCAGAGCTCAGTATGTGGACCACACTAGGTTTGAATTTGCTTCACTCTTCCTGTGTCTGCCTCCCAGATACTAGGTATGGGCCACCTTGCCTGGCTAAGTAAAGTTTTGGTTGGATCAAAGCATAATCAATACAGAAATATATGGCAATTTCTTAAATAAGGACAAAAATAAAGTGAAAGTTACAAATTCTTTTCTAGATTTTTCAGCTTTTGCCAATGGAAGGTATTACCAAGGCTTCTCAAGGGCGGAGACTATGGGCATGAGTCCCCATGCATGGCTAAAGGAAATCTTTATAGAAGCTGTCTGTGTGAGGGCTGACTCAGTGGCACAGTATTTGTCTATCATGTGTGAGGCCCTTAGGTTTGATCCCTAGCAATGAGAAAACAAAACTGTATGGCCTTTTCTCTCATTCCATATGCCTGTGAGCACCTAAAATGCATGCAAGGAGAAAGCATCAACCACAAGAAATAACGATTTCTCAGCAGCTTAGCCATGGAAAGAACTTACTGGTTTAAACCCTGCTTAAACAGATTGTTGCGTCAGCTTTCCTTTATAAATAGCCAAATTATTCCAGGGTTCTTAAACTATACCTTTGATTCTAGAAAAGCCAAAAGGTAAACTATTTCAAAATGTACAAAACATTCTCAAGTTATCCAGACTTCTACGAATGACCCACAGGCTACACCTCTGGAACAGCCACACAGGTGAGAACTGAATTCAGGTTTCCAACACACACCGTGAGCCCAGCAGAGGCTATGATTCACCAAGACAGTCTGAAGTTAGCGGGCACTCGACAGCTGCCATCCAGTGAGTCTCTCATGCTCTACCTGGCTGAGAGGCCAGGTCCGAAGAAGTGAGTGCCAGCAACCGCTTGCTCAGCAGGGCATTGTGTCGCTTCAGGTACACTATTATGTCTCCTTGCTTCTCAACAATTTCTTCTAGACTTGAAACAGTCCTGCAAAATCAAGATACAAACAAGTTCTATGTACTCACCAGCATTCTTTGGTCTTGTTGCAAATGAGTCCTCAATGGTGTTCAGTACAGTAACTGTACTCGCAGTATTCCCAAGACAGATTTCTTTCATTAATGAACTTAGTGGCTTCCACTCTTGAATAAATCTGTTTTGTACATTTTGACTTTTTGTTTGTTTGTTTGTTTTTTGTTTTTTGTCTTTTTGAGACAGGGTCTCCCTGTAGCCCCAGCTGGCCTGGAACTATGTAGACCAGGTTAGCCTCAAACTCACAAAGATCTGCCTGCCTCTGCCTATCAAGTGCTGGGATTAAAGGCGAGCACCACCATGCCTGGCCTTGTACATTTTGACTTTAAATTTAAATTTTAAATACTTTGGGGGGAGGGCTGGAGACATGGCTCAAGGACTAAGAGCACTGGACCTAGGTTTGGTTCCCAGCACCTACCAACGTGGTAGCTAAGAACCATCCTAACTCCAGTTCCAGGGGATCTAACACCCTCTTCTGACCTCCTAAGAAATAATCAATAAAATTAAAAATAAATAAATAAAAAACCTTTCTCAACTTTAAGACTCAAACTAGCCATTACTACTTTATTTAAGCAGTAGCCTGGGAGCCAGGCGTGGTGGTGTAGGCTTTTAATCCCAGTACTTGGGAGGCAGAGGCAGAGGCAGGTGGATCTCTGTGAGTTCAAGGCTAGCCTGGTCTACATAGTGAGTTCCAAGTCAGCCCCACTACAGGGAGACCCTGTCTCAAAAAGAAAAAAGAAAAAAAAAGGAAAAGCAGAAGCAGCATCCTGAGCATGGTGGTATACGCCTTTAGTCCCAGCACTCCCAAGACAGAGGCAGAGGCAGGCAGATCTCTCTGAGACTGAGGCTAGCCTGGTCTACAAAAATTGAGTTTCAGGCCCACTAGGGCTACAAGCAGACCCTGTCTCAAAAAGACAGAAAAAAAAAAAAAAAAGAAAGAAAACCCAAAGTGCACCACATGCATACAGTGCCCACAGAGGTTAGAAGAGGGAGTTGGATCCCTTGCAACTGGAGTTGCAACTGGAGTTGTGGATGGGTGTTAGCTACTATTTGGGTGTTGGGAAGCAAAGTCCTCTGTAAGAGAAACCAGTGCTCATAATTCCTGAGTCATCTCTCTAGCTCTGTTTTTTTTTTTTTTAAGTTTTTAAAAAAATCTTATGTATATGAGTGTATTGCCTGCATGTATGTAAGTGCATCCATGTCATGCAATGCCTGAAGAGGTAAGAAGACGTTGCAAAAATCTTATGTATATGAGTGTATTGCCTGCATGTATGTAAGTGCATCCACGTCATGCAATGCCTGAAGAGGTCAAAAGACGTTGGATTCCCTGGAACTGTAGTTACAAATGGTTGTTAGCTGCCATGTGGGTGCTGGGAATTGAACTCTGGTCCTCTGCAAAAGTAGTCATTGCTCTTAACTGCTGAGCCATCTCTCCAGCCCCCAACCCCCTTCTTTTTTGAGATAGGGTCTCACTATGTAGTCCTGGTTGGCCTAGACCTCACTACGTGGACCAGGCTGACCCTGAACTCACAGAGATCTGCCAGTGTCTGCCTCTCAAGTATTGGGACTAAAGGTGTGCACCACTGTGTCCAGAGACTGCACCCACAGACCTTTTACAGAAGATGCTCTGCTGCTGTATGTGGCACATGCCTGTAATCCCAGCACTCTGGAAGCCTAAGGTAAGGGAATCAAGAGTTTGAAGCCAGTCTGAGCTACATAGCAACACAGCAAGTTGGAGGCCAGCCTTAACCCCATAGGGAAACAAACAACAACAAAAAAAGGTAAGAGGAGGCTGGGTGTGGTGGCACAGGCCTTTAATACCAGCACTCAGATGACAGAGGTCTCTGTGTCTTCCAGGCCAACCTAGTCTACTAGAGAGTTCCAGGCCCTCCAGGGCTAAATAGTGAGACTGTCTCAAAAAACAAACAGGGTGCTAGAGAAATGGATCTTTCTGTATCTGCTTTCCCAGTAGCTGGGATCACAGGCATGGACCATCATACCCAATAGGAAAAAACTTTATTTCTCTTACTAATTCTTTAGTCCCCACTCAGACCTTACCTGAATCCAGTCTCCGAGGTAATATTGCTGGGGTAAGCATAAATTTTTTCTTCTTCAAGTACATCTGGCTGTGGTTTGGCTCTATTAAATTTCCCAATTTTCACTAAAATAGTAAAATCATTTTTAGTCAGGTTATCTAATTTTGAAAAAAAATCCTATTTTAATTTATTCAGATTATAATAATTAACTCTTCACATAGATAACATAAAATTAATAAAGTGGATGGTTTAAATAAGTGTGTATATCAACATACACATTCCAAAGTCTATCAAGCAAGTATTGATTACAGGGATTCTCATCACTAAAAATAATAGCTGATATTGTACATTCACAGCACAAGACATAGTTTAACTATTACAGATGGGTGAACTCATTTAATTCATATGACTACACCATAAGTGGGTACCCATTTTTATTTTCTTTTTTGGTTTTGTTTTGAGGCAGGGTCTCCTTGTTATATAGCTGTAGCTGGTCTGGAACTCACTATGTAGACCAGGCTAGCCTCAATCTCAGAGATTCGCCTGCCTCTGCCTCCCAATTCTGGAATTAAAGGCGTGTCCCACCATGCTTCCCCCACCCCTTTTTTGGGTTTATTGAGACAGGGTCTCTCTATGCAGGCCTTGGATGGCCTGGAACTTGCTATATTATATAGACCAATCTGGCCTAGAACCACAGAGAGACTCCTGCCTCTGCTTCTCAAGTGCTGGAAAAGTGAGTACTCTATTTTTCCTGAACAACTAAGTGAAGCCTTCTAACCCATTAGTCATGACTTCAAAGTCCCTGCTATTGACATGTCTTTGGATGTGACTTCTTTGAACAATTCATAGACATGGAATCATGTAACTATGTAGTTTTTATAAATGCTTTCTTCCACCTGGGATATGCACACTGTAACATGTATCTGTACATTATTCCATTCCATATAGTCCAAGGCCCAGGCTGGTCAGCTCAGTGATCCTCCTGCCTCACCCCTTTTTTAAAAAAATTTATTTATTATTTTTATTTTATATGTATGCATGTATTGCCTGCATGTAGGTAAGTGCACCTGTGTTGTGCAATATCCATGGAGGTCAGAAGAGGGTCAGATACCCTGGGACTGGAGTTACGAACAGTTGTTAGCTGCCATGTGGGTGCTGGGATTCGAACCCTGGTCTTCTGCAAGAACAACCAGTGTTTTTAACCACTGAGCCATCTCTCCAGCCCCTGCCTCACCCTTCTTAAGTGCTAGGATTACAAGTATATATACCACAGCACCCAGCAAGAAACAGTCTTGCCATATAACCTAGGCTGGCCTCCAACTTATGAACCTTTGCCTTAGCCTTCAGACCTATGGATACAGGAGTGTACCAACATGCAGAGCTCTTTTTCTTACTCTTAAATGGATAGTTAGCCAGGCGTGGTGGCCCACACCTTTAATCAATCCCAGGACTTGGGAGGCAGAACCAGCCTGGTCTACATGAGGTCAGCTGAGGTTACAGGGAGACCTTTTCTCAAAAAGACCAAAAAAAAAATAAAAAAAAGAGTGTTAAATTTAATATTACAAATTTGCTTTTAAATTTTCCCATTTTTTTCTTGTAGCAACAATCAGGCAAATCAATGCTTAATGAGAAAAGTTTATTGTTTTTTAGGGACTAACTATATACAACACAAATAAGGCAGTCAAATTTAGGTTAGAATTAATAGACCAAACAATCATATCCTAGAGTTTTGAGCAATACTTTTATAACTTGCTATATTTAAAAATCTTTTTGGTGGAGCTGACCTGTGGACATTGCATGCATGTGGTGTACTTACGTACACACAGACAATACACACATAGGCATAAAAGTAAATAAAATTATCTTTTAAATTTGTATTATTTTATGCTTATGAGTGTATTGTCTGCATGAGTGTAAGTACACCCGTGTGTCATGCAATGCCCTTGGATGTCAGAAGGCATTGGATCCCTGGAACTGGAGTCAGGACAGTTGTTAGCCACTATGTGGGTACTGGGAACCAAACCCAAGTCCTCTGCAAGAACAGCCAGTGCTCTTAACCACTGAGTCATCTATCCAGTCAAAAATTTTAAAAAGAAACTCTTTTTAATATAATTCTTAATTCTAGCACTTAATTCTAGCTAGAATTCACTTAATTCTAGCTTAATTCTAGCACTGAGGAGTTAGAGGAGGGGGGATCAGAAACTCAGTCACCTTCAAATAAAGTAAAAATAAAATATATTTTAATATGGAAAACAAGAAAAAATACATAGAGAATGAAGCTTAAATGTTCTGTGACATGATAATGAAATCAGCATTTGCCTCTAGAAGCTATTCTCTAAATTCTCTCCTGTGACAGCCTCTAGCCCATTTAAGGGTGCACAAACATGTAAAAAGCCTTTGGGGATGGGGCTGTCTATAATCCCAGCACCTAGGAGGTAGAGGTTCAAGAGTTCAAGGCCAGCCTCAGGTATATAGCAAGTTTGAGGCCAGCCTGGGCTATATGATACTAGCCTCAAGAAAATAGAAACAAGAAAGAAAACAGAAACAAAACTATCTAAATATGACCCACTGATAATAGTAAACAGACATAATCTATCACAAAATGGTTCATGATACAAGGATCACTCACTCTATTCCTGGACCTGGCCATTTCCTATATGAGTACACACTGGGTAATTAAGCTTACTTTGAAACTACAGCCTCATTCTGTTCTATGAAATGCACTGGGTGGCCTCTATTTTTAGGAAATAGTTGCAAACACAACCCTGTACCTAACTGGACAAGGTCTCACTATGAGCCCAGGTTAGCCTCACTCATGATCCTCTTGAGCCGCCAGAGAGCTGGGGTTACAGTTGTCAACCACCACCATGCCCTCTTCCATGTAACCTTGTTCACATTTATTATTATTATTATTTTTTTGGTCTTTTTGAGATAGGGTCTCCCTGTAGCCCCAGCTGTCCTGGAGCTCACTATGTAGACCAGGCTGGCCTTTATGAGCCCAGGTTAGCCTCACTCATGATCCTCTTGAGCCGCCAGAGAGCTGGGGTTACAGTTGTCAACCACCACCATGCCCTCTTCCATGTAACCTTGTTCACATTTATTATTATTATTATTTTTTTGGTCTTTTTGAGATAGGGTCTCCCTGTAGCCCCAGCTGTCCTGGAGCTCACTATGTAGACCAGGCTGGCCTTGAACTCACAGAGATCCACCTGCCTCTGCCTCCCCAGAGCTGGGATCAAAGGTGTGCACCACCACGCCTAGCTCTCATTCACATTTAAAAACTAGTTGTTTCATTCACAGTACAAACATATTTATTTGCGTGTTTAATGTGTGGGTGCCTGTGGTTGTGGAGGACAGAGGACACCTTGTGGGAGGTGCTTCCACCATGTCAGTTCCAGAGATCAAACTTGGATCCTTAGGCTTGGCCCCAAGTGTCTTTACACACTGAGCCATATTGCTGGTCCTTGTTTTTCTTTTGTAAACACTCTTTTCTTGACCTCAAGGATACATACTCAGTATTCATAAAATAAAACTTGAGCTAAGGTCCCTATGTCTTTAACAACCAGATAAATGATTTCCTTCAAAATGGATAGTCACTGTCACAAAATGACTGTCAGTTCAGTGCCACATCAGCTGATATTAACAGGCAGATTTTACTGCTTGCTCTTACCAGAGGAATAAAAATCTAGATTTCTCCAGGGTCTGATTTTTTTCTTTTAAAGTATCCTTGCATATTATTTCCACTTCAAGTATCTAAAGCCTATTTAATTTTACTACTGAGAGTTTTCAGACAGACCAACCTTTAGAAAACTGTAAACTGAGAAAGCAGCAGGTTCTTAAAAGAATCACCACAAAGCAACCTTTGGCCCATTGCCATTTTCTACCTACAATTTTGTTGTTTACTTATCTATTTATTTAGTTTTTAAGTAGCTTTACTTTTAGGGCCCAGCATGGTGACTCATGCCTATAATCCCTACACTTGAAAGGCTGAGGCAGAAGGATTACTATGAGTTCAAGGCCATTCTGGTTGCTTTTGAGGAAGCAAGTTTTTTGCTTTGTGGGTTTTGCGTGTGTGTGAAAAGCTTTGCTTTAGTGGACCAAAATTTATGAATGACCCAAATGTAGAAAACTGACTCGGTCACAGTGGTTGTCTCTTCCTGCTGGTCTGAGAGAAGTCTGGACACGGTCAGCACCGAGAGACAGGTACTCAATGAGTTCTCCCAAGGAGGAAAACTTTTGCTAAAATACAGGCTATCTTCAGGGAAGACCACAGGAGAACCGCCATTCTCACCCGCATACAGGAGCAGACAGGTCAGGGAACAGATCAGTTCCAGGGCCAGGGTACCCAGGATGAGTTCAAGGTACAGCCTGCTGGGTTCAGGGAAAGAATGCTGCACACACAGCAGGAGGAGAAGCACGGTGTTGCCTGTGGAAACACAACCCCCCCCAGCAAATGAAACACAGAAATTTCATCTTCGGTTCCTGACACAAAAATGGTTTTTGTTCAGTTTCCTAAAGCCCTAGGAATTTCCTACCTGACAGAATTGTGTGACACTTAAGGTCACACCAGAGTTTATGTTAATAAGATTATGCAGGGTAGGGCTTTGCATAGCCTAAGGGTGGGGCTAGTTACTAGAAAGACCACAAGGAACTTTCTCCCCGACCCCCAAGGGAAGCCTAGCAGGCTGGAAATTTAAATTTTATAAAAATTCAGATCTTGATCGGTATGGAGGAACACACCTTTAAACCTAACACTCCTGATGCAAATTTCGGTGAGACCTAGGTCAGCCTGGTCTTCACAGAGAGTTCTAGGCCAGTTAGCATTGGTTACAGGGAAACCCTGTCTCATAAAATAATAAATATAAAATTTTTTAAAAATCTTGCAGGGCAGGATGGCATATGCCTTTACTTCCAGCACTTGGGAGGCAGAGGCAGGCAGATCTCTGTGAGATGAGGTCAGCCTGGTCTACATAGTGAGCTCTAGGACAGCTGGGGCTACAGGAGACCTGCCTCAAAACAACAACCCAACCCTACCCAGATCTGGAGGGCTGCTGATACAGCTCCATTGGTAGAATACTTTGCCTAGAAAGTAGGATGCTCAGGCTGGGCTACATGAGCTCCTATTTCAAAAACAAGGCAAAACCAAAGGCTGGAGATTTAAGGTTTTATTTGTGTTATTTTATGTGTATGAATGTTTGGCCTACATGTATGTCTGTGCACCACATGCACATCTGCTGCCCAAGAAGGCCAAGAAGGACATCGAATTCCCTGGAACTGGAGTTACAGATGGTTGTCAGCCATGTGGGTGCTGGGAACTGAACCTGGGTCCTTTGCAAGAGCAGTTAAGAGCTCTTAACTGCTGAGCCATCTCTCCAGGGTTGGAGATTTAGCTCAGCAATAGAAAGTATGCCTAGCAAGCTCAAGGCCCTGGGTTTGGTTCACAGCACCAAAAACAAAAACAGAAAACCAAAGACTCTGACTTTACTTCAAAACTAAGGAATGACTTCTTGACTTTATAAAATTATTAAAAACGGTTTCCTTTGGTTCTTCAGTACATGTGAAAAAAAAGCATTTATGTATTGAGACAGGGTCATATGCAGCCCAGGCTGGTCTTCAAAGTCAATGACCATTCTCCTGCATCAGCCTTCTGAGTGCTGGGGTTGCAGGTGTGAGTTATACCTCCTAAAAGTCTGATTCTGAAAAAAAAAAAAAAATCAGATAATTTCTTTATGACCTTCAAAAATAGTATTTCCAGATTTTAAAAAATATCATTACTTCTAGACCATCACTTGAGAGTAAGTACTATTTTGGTCATGCACCATATAAGGTAAAGTAGTTTAAAAGGTTTTAGGTTTTATTTTTGTGTTATGGTGACAGCTTCTGGTCACACTGTGACTACACATCCAGTTAGAAACCGCACCTGTTCCCTTAGAGGAAGGGGGCAATAAAAATCACCACTACCCTGGTCTCCCCAGTCCCTAGAGAAAGTTCTCTCAAGCCAGACAGATGTCTTTTTTCCCAGCATGCAGGAGACCCGCAGGGGGATGTCTGTGAGTTCAAGGACAGCCGGGTTCCCGCTTTGCTGAGTGTGGTCCTTGGTGGCTGAGCTTGCAGGCTACCCTTTAAGAAATACACTAACAGTACAGAGAAGAATAGAACGTTCAATTCTGTGGAACTGTTTTTCTGAGGAAAAATGAATTTCTAATCTGGGTTCAAAATAACTTAAAGATTTATTCTGAACTCAAATTGAAGAGGCTTTTCTAAAAAGGTCAAAAGTTGATACTAAGCCAGGTGTGGTGGCACACGCCTGTAGTCCCAGCACTTGGAAGGCACAAGGCAGGTGGATCTCTGTGAGTTCAAAGCCAGCCTGGTCTATATAGTGAGTTCCAGGCCAGCTGGGGCTACAGGGAGACTAAGCTAAAAAGCCCTAGGTCAATTCAATTTAATTCCATGAAGCCTCTAAGCTGCCACACTACAGCCCAGCAGGCACTCATTGGAGGTCCTAGGTAAGCTTCTGATCTTGTCTTCATACTTAGGACCTGAATAGTTTTGTTGGTTTTTTGCTTTCTGGGTTCTAGGGGTTGAACCTAGGGCCTTGTGTAAGATAAGCAAGTCCCCTATCACAAGGTGTATCCCAAGTCCTCTGTACTTATTTTTGGTCTTTTTGAGACAGGGTCTCCCTGTAGCTCCAGCTGGCCTGGAACTCACAGAGATTCACCTGCCTCTGCCTCTCAGGTACTGGGATTAACTACCATGCCTGGCCCTCCTCTCTGTACTTTTTAAGTCTTTTTGTTTTGTTTTGTTTTTTCAGTTTTTTAAGGTTTCACCCTATAGCCCTGCCTGGCCTAGAACTAGCTATGTAAACTAGGCTGGTCTTGAACTCTTGAGATTTGCCTGCCTCTGTCTCCCAAGTGCTAGGATTAAAGGTATGCACCACTATGCCTGGCTTTATTATTTATTTATTTGTCTTTTTTCTTTTTGAGACAGAGTTTCCCTGCAGTCCCAGCTGGCCTAGAACTTGCTATGTAGACCAGACTGGGGCCTTGAACTTACAGAGACCTGCCTGGGATTAAAGGCATGCGCCACCACACTCGGCTTTTTTTTTTTGTATTAAAGTCTCATGTAGCCCAGGCTGACCTCTACCTTGCCACATACCCAAGGCCTCCACCTCGTAAATGCAAATTCCTTTTACAATCCTCAGAAACATCAGACAAAAGTGTCTTCTCTCTTTGACCTAAATAAATTCTTGGATATCAAAAGGGTGGAAACTTCTACACTTCACAAAGGAACACACCAATACAATGTCTATAGTAAATACAAATTTCAAATGAGAATTAACGCGATAAGCCAGGCAAGGTGGCACACACCTGTATTCCCAGGACTTGGGAGGCAGTGGCAGGAGGACTGCCATAAATTGGAGACTTAATCTCAAAGAGAGTTTCAGGACAGCCTAGATGACAGAGTGAGACCCTATCTTAAAACAACAAATTAAGTTTCAAGGAGTGTATGGGATATAGTTTAGTAGTAGAGCACCTGCTTAGCATGCACAAGGCCTTGTGTTCAATCCACCTTCCCATCAAAAGAAAGCCTCAAGACAGAGGCTACAGTGCCCATCCCTCTGAAGAAGAGAGTGTATTTGATCATAAAATCAAATTTCACACGTCCTTACTGC